AATTTTGAGTTACCAGGTGTCTGGTTTTTGAAGTAGGAGAGCACTATGTCAAATCTATTTAAATCAGATTTTTACTGCCTTTTTTTACATAAAAACCATACAAATGATAACCCTATATTAATTTTGAAAATAATAAATAAATTTTTTTTTTTCAAATAATTAAAAAAAATTTTTTCAAATAATTAAAAATGATGAGGTTGAAGAACAGAAAATCACTCACGAGTATCTGCAAGAATTTGATTAACCACTGAACTTGCTAATGATGGAGATTGAAATCCAATAAATTGTGTAACAGGAAACTGTCTTTGAACAAGACCTTTTGTTAAAATATTGTACTGATTTGTAGTTTGAGAACCAAATTGATTGAGATAAACAACATATGTATTTGGAGCATTTGCTAGAGAGTAAAACGATGATAATGAGTCATCAACAGATGCACCAAGTTGAGGACCTGATGTTAGTACAACCATAGCAGTAGTAAAATTATTATTGCTTCCACATAAATTAGAAGCCAACCTTTTTTTACCTTCATTTATTCCAGAAACTATATCTACCTTAGCATTAGAGCTGTAAGAATTTGTAAGACTGTCAACCTTTGCCTTAAAACTTTGTAATGTAGATAAAGCATCACAACTGATTACTTCAGAAGTAGATATATCTTGAAATTGAATAACATTTACTAGATGATTAGCTGAAATCCCAATGGTGTCTGCAAAAGACTTAACAAAATTTTTTAAGTATTGAAAACGATCTCCACCAAAGTTATCATTGTAGTACAATTGATTGAATTGCAAAGATGAATCCAAAAGTAAAGAAACAGCAATTTTATATTGACCTGTAAAAAAAAAAAAAAAAGAATTAAAAAGGAAAAGTTTCTTAATTTTGTATGATACAGCAAAATAGATAAAAATGATTTATCTATTCAATTATTTATCGCACGCAACCTGACTAATCATCTTTTGCCAGCACACATTCATTTAAAGAATAGTATGTGATAGTATCTTAAACAGTTTAATGGATATACTTTTCCATGGTATTTAAAGGTGTTCAAATTTTACAATTTTTTTTTTTTTGGAACATGTATGCAAGTTAAAAAGATGTGTAATCATGAGTGATTTTAAGATAATACTTTGATTTTTCAAAAAAAAATTTTACATTGCTACACTCAACCAAAGTTTTTCAATATTTCTAACTTTTTACAAGATTGAAATTTTTTGGAGATCAAAGATACATACAAACATGTATATAACTTATTTGTTAGCTTACTATGTCTAGAGCATACTTGAAAAAAAAATGGCACCCTAGCTTTACGCGATCACCTTGCTACAACTTGATTTTGTAAACCATGACAGTATGGTCGGGGGAAGGGGGCAAATTTTTTTTTTTAATTTTCAAGTTAAATTGTATAAATATAAAAATAAATTTAAAAACTTTGTTTTTGTTAAAAAGTAACAAAACCTCTGCCGTAAGAGCAGAGGTTTTGTTTTAGAGCAAGGTGTTGTAGCAGTTATATACTCTTCAGATCTATATCTGAAGAGTTTTGTACAACCTCCTTATGGCTAGCAAAATAAATATAAAAAAACTTTTTGATGTCTCTTTATTTAAATAATAAGGAGGTGTGCATGGATAACTCTTTCCTGTACCTCCCTCCTCACTCCATTGAACTCTTTTCATTCTATTCTGTACTTCAGAAAAATAAATGATAACGTTGAAAAAAATATTAATTTAAAATATAGATTTAGGTTTCTGCATTATTGAAGGCCTTGTTCTTAGCCTCTTTAGTCTCAACCACATCATCTTCATTAACAATATCCAAGCTACTATCATAATCACTAGCACTTGATAGTGATAACTTGTCCTCCATCTCCTCAAGACATCCATATTCGTACGCAAGGCTTAGCTTCTCAGCAGGTGTTAGCTGCTCGGTTTCCTCTTTATATGCTGCTTTAGTACGTGAAATTGGTTTTTTTATTTTATTCTTGACTATTAACATTTTCTGCAGTTTCTTCTTGTCATATGTCTGTAAAACAACCTCTTGAATGGCTTTTACAGCTCTCTCTGCTGCATCATTAACAACTGCCAAGCTTTTAATAAATAGTTGAAAAGCAATGAAATCTGGATTTAATTCCATGTAGACGAAGGATAAAAAAGCCACTTAACATGTCTTTTAAGTATATCAAATACTAACCATGACTCAGCTTAATGTATATATACACTAAATTATGTATGTATGTATGTATGTATAAATAAATAAATATATAAATAAATATATATATATATATATATATATATATATATATATATATATATATATATATATATATATATATATATATATATATAGATATATGTATATATATATATATATATATATATATATATATATATATATATATATATATATATATATATATATACATATATCCTTATCTCCTAGTGAAAACATTTATTGTAAAAAAACATCTCTTTTAATAACATTTTAACAACTTCAACAATTAAGCTACATTTTAATGTTGTCTAAAAGTTAAAACAATTAAAATAATGCAGAAGTACATTAAGTTTTATTGTTTTTTAAAAAACCGCAATAAATAATAATAACTGGAAAGTTTTTTTAACTGGAAAGTTGTTTTTGTTTTTTTTTAAAACACTTTTAAAACATGTGCATGTGTTGCTACAATGACTATCTTATGGCCCACTGCTACAAAGGAGAGCTGCTACATTGACAATCTTATAGCATGCTGCTAAAAAGAAGTGCTGCTACATCAACTATCTTATAGCCTGCTCTACAAGAAAGTTTGGTTTGGGCAAGCAATCTATCATTTTTTTAAATAATCTTTATGCAAATTCTTAAATTTTTTCTGGTCTGTCTTGTTAGCAGTCTCTTTAAAACAGTTTATGGTAGAAACTTTTGGACTATCATGCAAGATTTTTAAAAATGAAACTATGTTAGTTAAAACTAAAGTTTTTAAAGTTGACTTTTATTTGCTGGTTGTTATTGTATTTTTAATACCTGAACAAATGTCACTAATTGAACTAACAGTCTAAACCCAGGTTAGTTTTTGGTTCCACAGTGCCACAAGTTAGTGGTTTGGGTCCACTTTTGTTCACTATTGATATAAATGATTTACCATTAGTTATTAACTACTTGGCTTGTAAATTGTATGCTGATGACTGCAAAATTATCCTAAAGGTGATTCAGACCACAATTTCAGATTCAGACCACAATTAGATTTTCTATTCTATTACAGAATGGTCGGATAATTAGTACATAAAAATAAACTACAAAAAATGCAAAGTGATGAATATGGGTAAAAATGTACTATATGCTTGATATTATATCTTACACTACCCTAAAATACCCTACCCATGATGTGGGCATCACCATCATGTTGAATGGCAAGTTGGATACACACGCTTCCAAAATTGCAACTAAAGCTAATATGATTTTAGTATGAATAGAAAATTCATTTATAAGTAAAAACACCAAACTATGCAAAAAATTATAGTCAGTATATATTAGACTATACTTAGAATTTGCAACTCCAGTTGGGAGTTATTAAAAATCAGCCACAAAATGCATTAAATTCTGCTATAAAAACTGCTTCTTAATTTAAACAATTTAGCAGCCAGAAGAATTTGATTGTATACAGTAACTGTTAACTGACATGTTGAACCATTGACAGAAGAATCTAAGAACGGTTGAACCCAAGAACAGTCACCATAAATGGTTAAGTAGAGAAAAAACTGACAATAGTGAAATATATAACATATTTTTTTACTAATAGAATAACAATTTTGTGAAATAATCTTCCTAACAATGTTGTTCAAAATTTGTTGACCAACCTTTTTACAATTCACTACATTAGCTTTTGGATAAAAAAAAATTAATAAAAAAAAAGTTGCATAAATTGTGAATGCAATGTACCTGCCTACGCTATAAATAGCTGGGCTTGTATTCATGCTCCTTTCCAGAAATCTTATCTGCTTGCAGTAAATATATACTACTAATAAATGTCCACATGATTGCTAGATAATTTATCTTAAAAATTTGATTTACTTTTTTACATTTCATTCCTTTATGTCATTTTAAAACAATCAACGAGTTTTTTGTTGCTGAATAATTTTGAATAACACAGTTTGGATAACCCATTTCCATTTCATAAAACCATTTTATACCCAATAACCCATTTCCATTTCATTGATTTTCCTACACAAAGATGATCAAATGATTATTACTTTTATGTTCACATAAGAAATTGTGAGAAACTTTGATATTTTTTCTCCAAAAAATGAAATAAGTTGTCTTTATAGGCATATGATGTGACAGTTAAAGTTTAAGGAATCAACATCACTCCAGTACAATTTTTAAAGAAATTGTATTTTAATGAAATTATGTACTAATTTAGAGAAGAATCAAGGACCAATTGCACAAAATTATAGTAAAAAAAAAAAAAAAAGATTTTAAATATTGATATATATCTGCAGTTTATGTTGATGCTAAATATAGAATGCTGTTAGAAAAAATAAAAATAAAAAATAAATGTCACCAAAACAAGGGTTAAAATTACTAGAAAAAATTTACAAAAAGAATGTAAAAAAATTTAAAAGAAATTCAAAAAAACAAAAAATAAAGCTGAAAAACAATCTACGGCATATTCAATTCATTTTATTATTGGCATATTCAAGAAAAAATTTACAAAAAAGATGCCAAAAAATCTATTAGATAATCAAGAAACAAAAAATACAGCTGAAACAACAACTCTAAAGCAACTTCAATTTGAATCTAATTTTGATAAAAAAGACAAGTTTGAGAAAATAATTAATAAAAAAGAAAAAGAAAAAATTTGACCCAAATAAATTTATAGATAAAGATTATGGATTTCATGGACAATAGTTAAATAATGGAAAAAAACGGGATGCTTAAAAAAGAAACTAACTTTTGGATGGAATCCAAGAATACTTAAAAATAATATGAGGTGTTCAGAGTAGACACTTGCTTGCTTATCTCACAAGCAAATGTGAAAAGGTTATTTAAAAAATATTAAATATGTTTTTAAACAATATTTTATTTTTACTTTTGTTACTTATTATAAATAAAATAGTTGTTAAGCTAATGAAATAAAATCTGTTCTGATTTGTTTTACATGAAGCCACTCCAAATTTGTAAAGGAGCCCAATTTTTAATAGAGAACATTTAATGGAACCGAAGCCAATCTTCAAACCTCAAGAACTAATTTTGTATAACCTTGTAATAATTAGTAATTTTAAATTTTGTATCAACTTTTTTTATATTATAAAAAGTCAGTATTATTATTTGTATTACATTAAATTTATACTTCGTACTATTTGATTTTAAATTCTTACCGTTTAAACAAAAGCCTCCTGTACATAATTGTTTTTGTATAGTATCTACATTTTGACAACTCCCAGTGCAGTTTCTACTTCTTGTTTGTAGGCATATAGAAGAACAATTTCCAAATGATGACCATTCTCCCAAAATAACTTAAAGAAACAAAAAGAAAAAAATTTATAAACAAAACTACAGATGTCAAAAATAAGTATTTTTAAAGTTTAATTTCAGTGTAAGAATTTTGTCATGTGTAAGAATAACCACACCAGCACACTAAAGAACTCCGAACAACATTTTAAAAAATTTTAATAATTACAAACTGATTACGTTAAAATATTATTAAAAAATATTGCTTTTAAATTTGTATTTAAACTTTAAAGGTTTATTAGACTCAACTGTGATTAATTAGAATTTTAGTTTTTAGATCACAAAAAATTAGTTCAATGGACAAAGTCTAATCAACTTTTAAAAAAAATTATAAAATTTTAATGTTTTTGTTGTTGTTTCTCTTAGTAAATGTTATGTAATATGTAGAGTTATCAGTTCTGTCAAAAAATTGCTTTTCAATTTTTTTGTTTAATTGTTTTTAAAAGTTTGGCAAAGAAATATCAGCATCAAACTGACAAAGACAAGCTTAAAAATGGTAAAAAAAAAAGACAAGCTTCAAATTTACAAAGAAAGACAAGCTTCAAAAAAATTCTTTTTTTAAAAAAAAATATTTTTCTTATTTTTACAGTTTTAGATTTTGAGTTTATGATCAAATTTTGAGTTAAAGAAAAATGGAAATCCCAAAACCTATCTGACTAACACAGTTAGCAAGACTAACTACATTTCAAGCAGTTAGCTCATAAAAATCGCTATCAAAAACCCATTATAAAGTACACATATGGATCAATCAATATAAAACTTTTTGTCTTTTTTAATTTTTAGTGGTACTTATGGTTGTGTTGTACCTCAATTCAAAAAGTGGCATAAGTGCTTAAATATTTATGTATGGGAAACTAAACTTCATATAGCATTTTTTTACCATAAAAAGTAACAACGTTTAACACTTCTCCAGAATGAAAATTCCTAATGATGTAAATGCAACCTGCATTTAAATGAAAAGATTAAAATTTCAACATAAATAATAATACACAAAATAAACCCAGTCAAACCAAGGTGGGAAAAAACCTAATCCAAATGTGTTTTTTTGTGTTTTATGGTTTGCAATGTTGATAATAAAGGGAATAACTTAAAATGAAATTGAATTTAAGATTGAAAAGACCTAAATTTGTGAGATATTACATTGAAGTCATTAAAGTATAAATTAGAGTTGTCATAACTCATAAAAGTAGAAAAACAAGACACATAACATCATAAAAATAATTAAAAAAAAAATTTCAACACCCAAAAAAATTTATTATAAAATAAGTTATATAACCTATTTAATAAAATGAAAAAAAACCATACTATTTATATATACTAGTAAAAGAGGATCTGTAAAATGAGTCAACAAAATACTTTATCTGTTAGACTTTTCTTGCAACAATTTTTCATAGACTTATATCATTTAAATAAGTTGTTTTTAATACCAGATTTGACAGATTATTAAAATATGATGTAAATTTTAGCAAACAGAAACTATCAAAAAGGAAGGGTGGGGGTGGTAGAGTCATGACAAATTATTGAACTATTATAAAAATTTTATGAAGCATTTTATTTTAAGACTTTACATAAGCATTAGTAGCCCAGTGTAATTGTAATCAAATGTCCAAATCCTCTGGTTGGACAAGAAAATATTTTTTGGATACTCTACATATTATATATCTGTTTCTGTTGACCATTCTCAGTTAAAAAGTAAAGTAGATTGTCTAATGTCAAATGAAACCTGGCCAAATGGTCTACTTGTAATAAGATATTTTAAACCCAAAAAAAGGCAGACAATAATAGCTTATTATTTTGTTCCTTCAACTGTCGCTCATTTAAAAAATAGTTTTTTTGTGTTCAAATTATTAAAAAGTATTCAAATTATTGAATCTTATGAATCTAGTATCTCGTGTTTAAAAATTGTCTCAAATATTGGTCCTATGCTGTTGCTAAATGTATACATGCCAAAAAATTATAACAATGAGCATAGTCTCCATAATTACATTGATTTATTTATGCAAAATTAAAGTCTATTATAGCTGAGGCAGATGTTATTCATATTATTATTGCTGGCAACTTCAATTGTAAAGAAGGGTCTAGATTTTTTGATTAGTTCTCAAATCTCGCAACAGAAAATAATCTAATTAAATCTGATATTAATCTTATAATACATTTTATTGATGATAGAAATCATGTCTCTTGGTTGGATCACGTTCTGTGCAGCCCAACAATTGATAATCTGGTGATAGATATTTCAGTTCTGACAAATGTTATAGCATCAGATTATAAACCAATAACATTCTCTTTTTCTTGCTCATTGGAAAATACAACGAAAATAAAAAATAACATTCCTTATCTTGTCTAGTAGTAATATTAAATGGCAGACTTGTAATGACAAGTCATTATCTCTTTATGAGGAAGCGTTAGACCTCTTATTACAATCTATACATGTATCATTTAACTTGTTTACTGATGTCATAAGAGTAACCTATAGGGCTGATGTTTATATAGACTTATTTAATAGTGACCTCATGAATTGTATTTAATCTGTTGAGGCTGACACTATACCACACAGCAAGGGCAACATTATAAATTCTGAATTTAATACTCCTGGTTGGAATAATTTTGTTAAAGCCAAGCATGATATTGCTAGAGATTTAAACTATGAATTTTGCAATGGGAAGCTAAAACATGCTGATCTTTTTAAGAAAATGAAAAATACTCGTGCCACCTTTAAACTAGCTATGAGACACTGTAAGAGGCATAGTGAGCAAATAAAAGCTGATAAGTGTGCAGAAAATTTTTATAACACAGATCCAAAAAAGTTTTGGAGCAGTATAAATTGTATCACTAACAAAAAGTGGTGAGTCACATTGATAGTGTGGGAGGAGCCATGGGAGACAATGATATAGCTTATATATGGAGAGATCACTTTCAAACCATGTAAAACTCTATAAAAAATACAGAGTACAAAGGCCACTTTGCTTAGAAAATCCAGCTACTTAAACAAGGTAATTTAGATATTCACATAAGTGCCAATGATGTTATCGCATTAATAAAAAATAAAAAATCAGAAAAAGCAGCTGGTCCTGGTTCAATTGATGTTTTCAAATGTATGGAAGTATTTATATATGGTGGAAAAGATTATATCTTTTAATTAGTATGTTTTTAAATCTCCGTTTAAGACATGGATATTTACTATTTAAGTTCTGTGAATCTTCCATTATTCCTTTGGTGAAGTGCAAAGTGGCTAACCTAACTGATATGAACAATTACAGGGCGGTTGCACTATCCCCTGCTATGTTGAAAATATTTTGTTACAAAAAATAAATATACCAGACAATTTCGATGATTACATTTGGGTTTTAAACAGAAGCATTCTACAACATTATGCACAAGTTATTTAAAGAAAGCTATTAATTACTACACATCTAGAGGTAGTCATGTGTTTACATTGTTTATAGATTTTAATAAAGCATTTGATAACAATGATTACTGGCTTCTGTTCTGTAACCTATTAAATCAAGAAATATCAAAAAATATCGTAAGTCTGCTTACATTCTGGTGCAGCAACCAGGAAATGTGTATTAGTTGGCAGAAAGCTAAATCTCCTGCTTTTAGTATAGGAAATGGTGTGCGACATGGTGGTGTTTTATCACCGTTACTATTTAGGTTTTACATTAGTAATCTTGTATTTAAAATTTTAAATATGCGTATTGGCTGCAATATAGGAGAGATTTTTCTCAATATTCTTGCTTATGCTGATGACATAGTACTTATAGATCCATCTTGGTTGTCTCTACAAAAATTATTGAATGCAATTAATTAATATGTTACCTTATTAATGCAATTAATTAGTATGTTACCTTATTAATTAATATGGAACAGATTTAAAACAAGAATATTAGCACACCTACGATATTGTTATAACAAATATTCAAAAACATTTTTTGGATATAAAAAATATTGCAGACTGGTGTTTTTAGAACCAGGGCTCCCAACTTTTGAGACTACTTTGTTTAACTATAGGATCAATTAAAAAAAACAGCTTGATGAGTGTGCCAAAAGAAATCTCACTTTCGGTTCAATTAACAGAATATTAGGACTATCCAAATGATGGATAATTGTAGATGACTGTATCTGTTCTTTTTATTGACTATTATTTTATTTATTTTTATATATGGACTTTGTGCCTATTTATTTATACATGATGTTTGAATTAAATACATTAATAATAATAATAATAATAATAATAATAATAATAATAATATATATATATATATATATATATATATATATATATATATATATATATATATATATATATATATATATATATATATATATATATATATATATATTATGTTTAAGTATATATATTTACATATATTATTATACATTTTATATAAAAATATACCCCTTGTACAGAAAGTTTAAACGCACTTGTTTTTTTAAAAGTCAAGGTATGTTTAAAGTGATACAAAGAGAAAACATGAGGCAGGGTCCAGGTTTTTTTTTTTTAATATTCTTAGTCCATTATTAATTAAGAAAAAAACACAACTTTGAATAAGAAAAACACAAAATCTTTTCTGAAATTAAACAACAAACTCAAGTAATCAAAAGATTACTTAGAAGAAAGTGCAATAAAGTTTAAATGCACATACAACTTCTTTTAATTGAAATATATTAATACGGAATATAACCCCCGTTGTTTTTAATACATGCTTGTATTCGCCTAGGCATTGATTTGATTAAGTTTTCAATCATCTTGATTGGTATTTCAAGCCACAGTTTGGTCAATTCTTGTTTGAGCATTTTGTGACTAGTTATTTTCTTTTTTGTTAGTTGATAATCCATCCAGCTCCATAAATTTTCAATTGGGTTTAAGTCTGGTGATCGTGCTGGCCAAGGCATAAGTTGAATATTACTTTTAAGGAAATAATCAGTGATTGAATGCGCTGTATGGCATGGAGCATTGTCTTGTTGAAATAACCATTTGATCAGCCTGGAACAAATCGCGACTAGGGATAAGCGCGTTTTCCAAAATGTCACGATACTCATACTGGTTTAATCTTCCTTCGTATATTTTATGACAGCCAACGCCTGAGCCTGATATACATCCCCATATGCCAACGGAACCACTGCTTTTTTGAATACGGCTTAATAGGTGTTGCTTCAAATCTTTTTCTGTATTTTTGCGACGAACAAATCTCTTGTTTTTTCTGTTAATAATTTCGAAATTTGATTTATCACTAAAGATAATCATTTTCCATTGTTCTACTGAATAATTTAAACGCTCTTTGCACCATTCGTCTTTGGCGATCGGTTAACGTCAACAATCGCTTTCTTACTCAATGAAACGAATTTAATTCTTTCTTGCGTAATAACTTACTTATAGTTATTCGACTAACTGTTTTGTCTACCAGCGAACTATTGATTTCTGCACTTAAAGTTGATACTCCCACTTTTGGGTTACATCCTGCTTAGCATGTAAAGCATGTTTTCATCGCGTGCTGTCAGTTTTTTCGGACGCCCAGTACGAGGTTTATCATTGACACTACCAGTTGAAAAATAATTTTTTGTTGTTGAACGAACGCTGAATTCAGAAATATTTAGGCGTCTGCCAAATTCTCTATTGCTTATTTTCATTTTACGCATTCCAATGACTTGCCATTAAAATATGATATTTTGGCAAAGCTGTATCAGCTGAAAATTGCTATATTTTTAATCAAATCGTATTTGTGGTTTTTATTTTAAATAAAATAAGAATAGGAATCCATATGAAATATACTAACGTTACCAGGCTGTTGAGTGATAAAAATGCAAAAGACTTCAATAAAAAATCTCTCAATAAACAAGTTTTACGCGTTTTCTTATCAAAGTGCATTTAAATTTTATTTCAAAAAATTGAAAGGAGTTAATTGCTCCGTTACTTTTCTCATCACTCTCCACCTCCGTTATAATATCCATACAACTTTTTTTATATCTAAACTAATAACTTATAGCCATAGTATAAATAAACATAAAATACAGAGCATATCTCATTAATTTATCGTGATATCATTTCTTAAAAGTATTATATAAGTAAAAAAAACAAGTGCGTTTAAACTTTCTGTACAAGGTGTATATATATATATATTTATATGAAGATGGATTTAATTATAGTAACTAATTATAGTTATTATTTATTAATATTTAATTTATAAAAAAAAATACACATTCAAAACTTTCTACTAAAACTGAACATTTGGTAATTAGATTCACATACCAGTTGGACACAAGTCACCTATACATGACTGTGATTCTGATATTGTATTACTCTGACAGTTTCCAACACAAGTTCTGCTTCTTGTTTGCTGACATGAAACTGAACAGCTACCAAATGATGACCAAACACCCAAAATTGCTTTAAAAAAAGTGTAAACAAATAATTATATGTATTTATGTATATATATATATATATATATATATATATATATATATATATATATATATATATATATGTGTATATATATATATATATATAAATATATATATATATATATATATATATATATATATATATATATATATATATATATATATATATATATATATATATATATATATGTTCATACATATATATACATATATATATAAATATATATATATATATATATATATATATATATATATATATACATGTTCATATATATATATATATATATATATATATATATATATATATATATATATATATATATATATATATATATATATATATATATATATATATATATATATATACATGTTCATATATATATATATATATATATATATATATATATATATATATATATATATATATATATATATATATATATAGGGTAAACTGGGGTAAAGTGAACTGTTTTCGATATTTAAAGGAAATATTTTCAAAATAAAAGCCAAAACATTTTGCAGTTTTCAAAATTTATACCATTTAAAGTATTAGGTACAATATAAAACAAAATACTAAGATTAAAAGCTACTTTTACAATATTAAATATATATTCAAAAAAAACATGTCCACTAGTTCACTTTACCCCCACATTGGGGTAAAGTGAACTACTTCATCTTTAACTCTTTTGTGTTTGTTATTTCTAATAAATTAGTTTTTTTATTTTGTATTTTGCCTTGCTGCTTGATCTTTCTTTTAAAGCATTCGTTTTCTTCATCATTTAATCTTTTAAATGCATCTTCTGATGTAAGACACTCACCTCCATAGTGTCTTTTTATTTTTTTTGTAGGTCGTTTGTTGTATGAACGACCATCACCCTTTGTGGCCATTAACTGTTCTTTCACTATTTCTCTAATGATTTTATTTCCAGTAGAACAATCTACATTTGATATTGATATTTGATTTATTTTTTCATTGTTTAAGTCTTTTCCTACTGATATTATAGTTTTTTGTGAATTGTATTTATTTGTTGATTCAATAGAAAAATTTTCACAAGTATCGTTCTGATCATTGACATTGGTGTCTAAAACGATGTTTTGAGGGACGTTATTATTATAGTTATTTGTTTTCTGAGAAAAAGGGTGTTCATAGATTTCAGAAGGATTTAACTTGTCAGATGCTATAGCAGATGGATCAAAGGGAAAAATTCCAGTTTTGGCAAAGGATTGTACTAAATGAGCTGGCTTAAAGGAGGTATCATAAAGTTTTTTTAATAAAGATGGAAAAACAGATTTCCCAACCACCTTCAGCCTTGACTCGGTATACCAATTGGCCAGAATTTCACGCCATACATGTTTAACTTGGCGAAAGACTCCTACATCAAGTGGCTGAAGCAAATGCGAACAGTGTGCTGGCAAACACAAAATAGTTATATGATTTTCAACTGCTTTTTTAACAGTTTCTAAAGAAATATGACTAATGTGACCATCAAAGATAAGCAAAACAGGCTTGGGTGTGTCTTTCAACCATAAAACAAGATGGTTAAAGTATTCAGTGAAAACTTCTGTTTCCATCCAACCGTTTTTTGTCACCCCATATAAGGAACCATTTGGTCCACCAGTCATCCACTCTTTATACAAATTCTTCCCAGCAAATAAAATAAATGGAGGAAAATTTCTTCCTGCAGCTGATATTGTTGCTAGTACAGTAAACTGTTCTTTTCCTGATCCAGGAGCAATAGATACAGGGTTTTTAATACCTCTTTTGCAAATAATTTTTTTATTTATTGGGTTAGTGCAAAACCCACTTTCATCGCAGTTTAGTATTTGGGCAGGTCTATTCATAATGTCACATTTTTCCAATGTTGCTTTAAGTAATAAAAACCAAGCATCAATTACAGTTTTATTACAAGCTAAGGCTCTTGTTAATGTCAAAAGCTCTGGAGTTCTTATAGATATTTCTTTCTGCCAACGATTTAAAAAATTACAAAACCACTGATCACCAGCAACACCATTAACAAATTTTTTCTGAAATCCGTTTAATTCAATATACGTTTGAACAAGTTTCATAAATTGTTTTTTATTTAATCCAAATCCAAAATCAGAAAATGCAGATAAAAGTAAAACAAGATCTTTTTCAGCATCAGCAGATAATCGGTTTGGTCGCCCTTCACCAACTTTTGAGCATTTTATGCCTAGAAGATGTCTTGCAATTGTACTTCTTGGAACACCATATTCTTTTGATGCAGCATACGAAGTCATTTCTTTATTTTTAACTTTCGAAATGGCATTTTGCAACAAATTAGGTGCATATGTTTTTCTTTGAGATTCTTTTTTCTTAATGTAGTTTCTTGGCATTATTTCAATATATTATATTTCTGAAAATAATTTTAAGAATATTTAAAAAAAAAACAACTTATTTTAAGAGTAAACAATTTAGTTAAGTAATTACAATTTATATATTCAGTTCTACTAAAAATATTTGATGAAAAAACATAAGAAAAAGACTAGTTCACTTTACCCCCAATAGGCAGAAAAATAAGGGGTAAAGTGAACTAAATTGATTTACAAACTAAAAGCTTAGCTTTTTTATATTATGATAAAAACTACAATTTTTTTTTAACAGCATTATATTATCTTTAAAATGTATATAAATTATATAACTGATGTTCGCATTAATAACAACAAATCATGAATTTACTAAAACCCATAGCAAAGTTTGAGATCGTAATTTTAAAACTTCCGCCAAACTCGCTTTTTAAAATGGCTATTACATCAAAACAAAGGCTATATTTTATTAATTTTTTTATTTAAAAAATTTCAAAATGTTGTATTAAGCAAAAATAATGCTAAATTACTTAACAAAAAGTTTTTTAAACATGATAACTTTTTAGTTTAAAAAAATAGTTCACTTTACCCCTAGTTCACTTTACCCCAGTTTACCCTATATTTAAACAATTTAAAATGTATTCTACAAAAAGAGTGCTCAATGTTCTTAAAAGAACAGAGCAATTACAAATTAGTAGAAATGCATTTCTGATGAGTCTTTATTGATGAAACACAGTGTTAAATGAGAAAAAATTTTGCTAAGTGATTTTCTACTAATTTATATATATATATATATATATATATATATAATATATATATATATATATATATATATATATATATATATATATATATATATATATATATATATATATATATATATATATATATATATATATATATATATATATAGGATCTATTCCAAATGTGCAAACGTTGTTCCGTTATTTAAAAAAGGAAATAAACTAGATCCAACAAATTATAGACCAGTTTCATTAACATCAATTGTTGGTAAAGTTATGGAGAGAATTATTAAAGATCATATGATTGTGTTCCTCATTGAAAACAATTTAATTTCTAAAGAGCAACATGGTTTTGTTAATAACAAAAGTTGTATAACAAACCTGTTAGAAACATTAGATTTAATCACGCAAGCGTATGAAGAGGATATTTCTGTTGATGTTTTATTTTTGGATTTTAAAAAAGCATTTGATTCAGTCTCTCACACGAAATTACTGAAAAAATTATTCAGACTAGGATTTGTATCATCTTTGTTAAATTGGTGTAAACCATTTTTGTCAGGCCGAACACAGAGGGTTGTAATAGGGGAATATATTTCAAGTTGGAAGATGGTTACTAGTGGAGTACCACAAGGTTCAGTACTCGGACCTCTTTTGTTTGTAATCTTCATTAATGACTTATGTAGAGGGATTATTAAAGACACTAAATTATATGCAGACGATACCAAAGTTATTTCAATTAATCATTGATATGATGATAATAAAATATTACAAGAGGATATTAACAGGTTAGTTAAATGGTCTGAAGATTGGTTAATTACATTTAATGAATCAAAATGTAAAGTCATGTATATTGGCAAAAAGAATCCAAGATATGAATATAAATTGAACAACTCTGTTTTAACAGAAACAATGATAGAAAATGATCTTGGGATTTTCATTTCAAATAATCTAGAGTGGAAATATCATGTTAATTCAGCTATAGGTAAAGCAAACAGAAAATTAGGCATGATCAAAAACTCTTTTGAGTATTTGGATGAACTTTCATTAAAGTTACTATACAAATCGTTAGTACGTCCCCATTTGGAATATGGAGCAACAGTTTGGAGTCCATTTTGGAAAAAAGACATTGACAATCTTGAAATCGTGCAACACAGGGCTACGAGAATTGAATCTTTAAGGGGGAAGTCGTATGAAGAAAGATTAAAGACACTTGAATTGCCAACTTTGTTTGATAGAAAAAGAAGAGGTGATCTGATTCAAATGTATAAGATCTCAAAAGGAAAAGATATTGTTAATTTTCACCATCCTCCTTTAAATTTTGAGCTGGAGCGATCTAGTAGAAGTAACAATTGTAGAATACGCAGACAATTTACAAAATCAAGAATTCGTCACCATTTCTTTACAAACAGAGTTATAAATGATTGGAATTCTCTTCCACAATGGATATTAGATAAAGATAATTTGAACATTTTTAAAAACAGTATCGATAATTATTTCGGTTTCTGAACACTAATTTTTGTAATCGGCTGTCATAGTCTTAATTCTACGTAATTAAGACTCTACACACCTCAAGTGTGTACAGCACCTTTTCTATTCTATTCTATTCTATATATATATATATATATATATATATATATATATATATATATATATATATATATATATATATATATATATATATATATATATATATATATATATATATATATATATATATATATATATATATATATATGTTTATACATATATATATATATATATATATTCATATATATATATATATATATATATATATATATATATATATATATATATATATATATATATATATATATATATATATATATATATATATGTTTATACATATATATATATATATATATATATATATATATATATATATATATATATATATATATATATATATTCATATATATATATATATATATATATATATATATATATATATATATATATATATATATATATATATATATATATGTTTATACATATATATATATATATATATATATATATATATATATATATATATATATATATATTCATACATACATTATATATATATATATATATATATATATATATATATACATATATATATATATACATATATATATATATATATATATATATATATATATATATATATATATATATATATATAAATATATAGGTAAAAAATCTTTCAATATATAGGTACTACATATGCTGTGAGCTACTTGCTCACTACATAGCTATTATACAAACTTTTATATAGACACTACCTGATCTATTATATAGCTACTACATAGCTGACTCATAGCTACTACCTAGCCAGCTACACAGCTACTATGTAATTCATGGTCTGCAACATAGCTACCAGATAGCCATATACCCGCTACATGCATATACATAAAATATAAAATTTAATATGTTTTAAACAAATTTAAAAAATATATATTATACTAATTTTAGTAATGTCAAAACAAACAAAAGTTACTTACAGGGATAAAAAAATTTATAAGGAGTTTAAAATTTTTTGTGCCTGTATACAATTTGTTTTTGTAAGATTTTTTTTTACATTTAAACAGTTCTTGTGTAATTTTGATGCAAAAAAGAAAAGAATTACAGAATTTGACTAATAGGTCTGAACTAAACCAGGATCAAGATTGGAGTTAAATTTTTATTTCTTTAAATCATATTTACATCAAAATAACAAACTTAAGCGTAAATAATATTTGAAACAAAATTAAAATAAAAAATGCAAAGTTACAGGAACAAAGCTTTTCTTGCTCAACTAAGTATACTTAACTTTGTAATAAAATTTTTTTACTAATATGCTATAATTAAAAACTCGTAATACAGTACAAAGAACAAAAGCTGCAATCAATTATCATTTTATACTTATTTATATAAGACAACATTGTTATTTTTATCATTATATTAATAATAATTATATAATAATAATTTTATAATTTTTCCAAATCTAAAGCTTTAATTAAACTTCAAATTTTTTATTAAATTTAAACTTCAAATTTTTTATTAAATTTAAATTTAATTAATTCATTTATATTAATGAAATAGTTAAATACTTGTATTATCAATATTTAATTTTTAACATACCTGTTTGACACAAGTCCCCTAAACAGGGTTCTGAATCAGTTGTAGTTACATTTTGACAGTTTCCTGTGCAATTTCTGACTCTTGTATGCAAGCAGGATGATGAACAGATTCCGTAATCTGACCAGGCACCCAATGTTACTATCAAAGAATATTAAAATTAAAAAAAAAAACATGTTACACAACTAAAAATTTATATTTGCTGTTTAAATAACTAACACAAATAAATGAATTAATGATAAAACAATTCAACTATAAGTCTTTTTCTCTCATGTAATTTTTACATTCTAATAGATTTTCTACATCCACTCCTTCACCTTATTGTAAGCATTTAACATCTAACATTTTCTTGCAATTATTTACAACTTCAATCAAATGCATTTTGCAAAAAGATTTTGCTTTTTTCTTAATTAAAATTTAAAAAAAACTATGAAGTGGAATATAGCCTGTATCTTTTATTTCCTCTATTCTACTACATATATATAGCTTGCCACATTTTTTTTAATGCCTAATTATAAATATTGAGTTGTTTTGGTTTAAAACATTTTTTAAGGTTTAATAAAAAAATAATTAAAAAAAAATGATTAATTTTATCACAAAAATAATTAACCAATTAATTCTAATAAGTTTAGTATCACTAAATTCAATTTATTGATATTAATATTTTAACATTTATTTATATTATTTTTGATGATTACAACTATATTAATATTATATTTGAATAATATCACATAAAATCAATTAGTTTTAAATACACTACTAATTTTATAAATATAAAACTAATTCTATGAATAAAAAGTTGATTCTATAAGTTAATTTTATATTATTAAAATAATTTCAATAATATAAATAATATAAAAATGTAAAAACTACTGCTATAAAAGTTTACTCACTTAATAAACTAATATAATATTTTTCTTGTTTTTAAACAAACCACATCTTTCACAATCATGTTGACTTTTTTTCACTGACATCATCCATAATTTTAAATTATGGATGATGTCAGTGAAGAGCAGAAGGAATGGTTTCATCAAGAGATAAAATAGATAAAGAAACAATGGATAGTGGAATACCAACATGGTAGATGATGACAGTACATGATTTGATTTCAAAATTTAGAAAATTAATTTGATCTGCTATTTTATACTACAATAATGTTTCTTTTAAATTCTGAAAGTCACAAGTATGATTTTATAAAAAAGCTTATCATATTTTTCAAAATCATAAAGAATCCTTATCTGGTATTACTACCAGGTACAGATTCATTGTTATCAGGAAAGTAATTTTCTTTTCTTTTTGATATTTATTGTAGATAAAAATCTGTTAAGTTACAAAATTAAAATTGACAATACCTTTATAATATGTGTTTATTAACACCAACAGGTAAAAAACAAATAATTTTTTGAAAATTGGTAGACTCTAAGACAAGACTTAATTCTTCTATTATATTTCAAACCATTAAAAAGATTATTTAATGTGTCTCAGGATGACTCAAAAAAATATTTTTTAAAATCTAACATTTTCAAAGAAATTAAAAAGTATATATTCATAAAAACTATTGCAAATCTACATACCATTAGGACACAAGTCACCTAAACAAGATTGTGTTTGTGTTGTTATTGCATTTTGACAGTTTCCACTACAACTTCTGCTTCTTGTTTGTTGACATAAAGCTGAACAATTACTAAATGATGACCACAAACCAAATGAGGCTAAAAAAATTGATAATGCTCAAATTAAAAAAAAAGTTTTATCTAAATTTTAATTATTATGTTACTATCTAGTAACATAAAAAATTAAAATAATTATTATATTGTCTAATTATGTGCAATCAATTATAGAAATTAATTATACAATTGATTATTTTCAATTCGTTATATAACTAGTTAATATTATTACTTTATTTAATTATATAATTAAATAAAATAATATTTAACTTCAATTAAATAATTTCGAGAAATAATATGTAGTTCAATGAAATTTTTAAATTGAATAATCAACTTTGCATTCTCAAAATCTTTAAAAAAAAACAATATTATAAACAAGTATTAATTATAATAAGGGCATTATAAACAAGTTTTATTACAAAATAGCAGAAAGGAAAACATGATAAATAACTTACGAAGACAAAAGTCAGTGGTACAATTTAATGTTTGGATAGTTTCCACTCCTGCACATTGACCAGTACAATTTCTATATCTTGTTTTTGTACATTGAATTGAGCACAGACCAAATGTTGACCATGCAGTAACATCAAATTGCTCTATAAAAAGCGATTTATAATTTTATTTTTTAAACTTGATAATTTATATTTTTTAAAAGCTTTAATCTTAAAATAACAACTTAATTAAAATTTAATTACCGTAACTGCCATTAATTACTTGATTAACTACAGATAATGCTAATGATGCAGATTGAAAGTCTGAAAATTGCAGAACAGGAAACTGTCTTTGAATAATACCTTTTGTTAAAATGTTGTATTGATCAGTACCTTGAGAAGCTGCATCATTTAGATAAACTACATATGTTTTTGGAGTGTCTGATAGCAAGTAAAATGATCGTAAGGTATCACTTACAGAAGAGCCAGGTTGAGGCCCTGATGTCAAGACTACTATTGCTGTGGAAAAACTTTCGTTACCACCACACAAGTTAGATAGAAGATTCTTCTTACCTTCATAAACTCCACTAACTATATCAATATTAGCTATTGCGTCATAATTGTTTGTCAATGCATCTACATTTGACTTGAATTGTCCCAATGTAGATAAAGAATTGCAGCTAATTTTTCCAGAGGTGGAGCTATCTTGAAACTGCACAACATCTACCCGACGAGTTGCTGAAATACCAAATGTATCTGCAAAATTCTTTGCAAAGTTTTTTAAATATTGAAAGTGATTTCCATCAAGGTTTTCATTGAACCAGTGTTCATTAAAACGAATAGATGAATCCAAAAGTAATGAAACAGAAATTTTATTCTGACCTAAAACCAAACACAAGATTATAGATAAAGATTTAAAAAATAGAAACGAATCATATTTATTTCGCCTGCATTTATATCTTAGCTTTATGTATACATTTATCATAAATGTACATTCATTATGTATACATTTATCATAAATGTACATAACATTCTGTTGACAATTAAATCGCTTAAATGTTAAAAATAACATTTGCTACAAATACAGTCTTGCAAAAGTTTAGAATCATTTAAGTATTTTTTTAGGTAAAACCATAATTTATTGACCTAAAAATATATACCTAAAAATATATACCTAAAAAAATACTTAAATGATTCTAAACTTTTGCAAGACTATTTGTAGCAAATGTTATTTTTAACATTTAAGCGATTTAATTGTCAACAGAATGTTAAAACAATTAAACAGTTGCGGAATGCATTAAATTTTATTGTTTTGAAAGTCACAAAAATTCATTTCTAAATTTTTTTATTTTTTATTCCTTATAATTTTTATTTTTGTTTTATTGACGGGTTACCCTAACAACCGGAAAACTAATTCCTTTATAGTTAAGTTAATAAACTACGTCACGCAGTTTTGACATTTTTCTCAAGAAAATTTTTTTAATTTTTTTAGAGAGGATAGGAGGGGGTGCAAAATTTTACAAAATACAAAACAATTTTAAATATAATAATGTCTATTATTCTCTGAGCTTCTTTAAGTTAATTAATTAGTACTTTTCAGTCTGTTTAATTTTTTTTTTTTTACCCCAATAATTCCATCATAAAATTGTATAAATTAACATCTCCTAAACATGATACCAATTTTTAGAATCTATTTTTCCGATATATAATACATGCAAAATATTATATATATATATATATATATATATATATATATATATATATATATATATATATATATATATATATATATATATATATATATATATATATATATATATATATATATATATATATATATATATATATATATATAAACATATTATACATGCAAAAATATTAATTTATAAATACAACTTCCTTCCAGGTAGCAACGTAAGCGTGGTCGAGTAGATTCTAGTAAACCGAGGGTTCTAGGTTCGTTTCTTGGTATCGAAAAGTTTTTTTTTTTTAGTTGTTGCACAAAGATCGTTTTTTTGTTGCTGCACACTTTTGTGCGCCAACTAAATAAAGTTCTGCACGTGAACCATTTAAATTCAAAGCGCAGAACGTGCACTGCTCAAACAGCCGTAACAGTCCGTTAACAGGCTGTATTTTTTTTTTTTTTTTATTATCTTTTTTTTTAATTATTTTTTTTATTTTCTATTTTTTATTTATTTGAGTTTTTCATGCTATATTTTTCTATACAATGTTTTTATATCCGAAGATATTGTTGGCTTATCATAGGAATAGCCACAAATAATCATTAAGACTAATCCAAAGTAGCGTGCGTTATTGAAGCCCTTAGTTAGCGGTGGCGGGATTTGAACTTGTATTGTTCAACAGTCCGGATTTTAACTTTTCCTTTGACGCTCAAACCAACTGAACTATCCCGTCACGGCTGTAACCGTTAACAGGCTGTAACGGAACAAACCGACTAAGTCTTAAAATCAAGACTCCCTCCGCCTCGTAAAAAATTGCCTTCCCCTACCCCTCCTCCCCTAAGCGTGACGTAATTTATGGACTTTATGAACTTTATGGACATTCATAAAGTAACGTCACTTTCATTTCGATCCTCCACCTCTGCATTTTTGCTATACGCTTTTTTGGTACCCTCCACCTCCTTAAAAACATACGCTTTTAACCAACTTTCCCAACATTTTATGATATTTTTTTTAATTTAGTGTCTCCATACAATTATAATTGACTCCTATAAATGCCCCCTATCTCATATACACCTATTTCAGACCGAACAATGCTAAAAAGTGCTCCTAATTTTACATGTTTTAAAAACGAAACAAACTATACTACCACAGCAAACAGTTCAGGAGTCTGGAGTCATAGCGTGCTATGACATGAGTAATTAGCTGACAGGTGACAGCACACAGGCAGGATTTTTTTGACAAGTGCCATTTTGCAGCGGACAAAACAAGTGCAACTTTTTTGGTTTGTTTTATTTTCTCAAGTCTGGTCCGTGTCAACGTCACGGAAGTTTTTTAATAATTAAAGGAAGTATCCAGAAGTTTCCAGAAGCATGCAGAAGCTTCCAGAATTTTCCAGAAGAAGCATCTGGAAGCATCCAGAAGCATCCAGAAGTATCCAGAAACATTCATAAGCATCCAGACGCATCCAAAAGCTTCCAGAAGCGTCAAAAAGAAGCATCTAGAATCTTCCAGAACAGGTTCACACAGGTTCATTTTACTATATAAGAGACATGTAAACCGACATGTAATTCAGTCAGTATATGGAAGTCAATCAGTCAGTATTATCAAGACAGTTTATCAAAGTGAGTTTTATCAAAGTGTTTTATCAAAGAACATCAATACAAGAAGTGAAATACAACAATTATTTTATTATATCAATACAGTCCACATCCAACAAAGACGTTGTGTTCCACAGAGCATTATTGTATCATCACAAGGTAAATGTTACACGGTAAGCCTTGAGAAGCGTGATTGTTTATTTTAATTATTTTTATGACTTCAAGTGCAAAAATGGTTCCCGACAGTCTTTGATTGGAACTAAGATAGAAAATTATTGGCGATTACGTAAGTGGAATGTCACAAAAAAGTATTTGTGATAAAATGGACCGTATCAAGAATATATTCCAAATATCGCTCTACGGGGAAGTTGGCAGCAGATAACAAAGGTGGAAGAACATGTTCCACAAATTCTAGAGAGGATTCTATGATCGTCAGATCCGTCAAGAAGGATCCCTGGATATCATCAGTTGAGATACAAAAGCAATTATAGCTGCCTGTATCGGACCAAACAATCAGACGACGTGCTGTTGAAGCCGGATTGTTTCCTCGACGCGCTGCAAAGAAACCGCTGATTTCACTAAAGAACCAGAGGAAAAGACTCCTGTTTGTAACATCTCATATTGACTGGAATGTGCAGTAATGGCGAACTGTCCTGTTCAGTGATGAATTGAATTTCAATATCATTAGGAGCGATGGCACACCGGAAAACGCCTCAATTTACGTTAATGTCATAAGACCGTGAAGCATGGTGGAGGCAATGTAATGGTCTGGGGGTGTTTTTCTGCTAACGGTCTAGGTCCAATACATCGAATCGATGGAATAATGAACCGTTCCATGTATATAAATATCCTGAAAGATGTTATGTTACCTCATGCTGAATGGAATATGCCAATAAAATGGGTTTTTCAGCAAGACAACGATCCGAAACACACTGCAAAAGTAGTCAAGCAGTAGTTTCAAGACAACCATCTATCGGTGATGGATTAGCCGCCTCAATCTCCAAATCTCAACCCTATCGAGAACCTGTGGGAGATCGTCAACCACAGAATTAATTGTGAAAGTGTTCGTTATAAGGATCAACTGTTTTAACAAATCCAAAAGGCCTGGGAAGCAATTCCACAAAGTTTCATTGATCACCTGATAGATCTATGGCTCGAAGATGCAAAGCTATGATCAACAACAAAGGATTTGGCGATTTTATTTCGCTATAATGATAGCGAAATAAAGCTTAGTCAACATTTTGTGGAGTTGCACTTGTTTTGTCCAGAAGGAAATCAACTGTTTTAATACTTTTGATTAATTTATTAATTTTTCTGTACAAATAATAAACTTTGTGATGAATAAAACTTGAAGAACATTATCTCTAAACCAGTGGTTCCCAACCGGTGGTCCATGGACCCCAGAGGGTCCATAAGAACTTTTTATGCGGACCACAAGGTAAACGTAAATTATAAATATTAGTTGTGCTCTATCAAAAACTCAGCAAATAATATCTGAAAGTCAAACTTTCAGATATTATTTGCTGGTAAGCAGTGCCAGAATTCACATTGACCTGTTTTTGTATCATATATTAACTAAGATTAAGTATTTTTGCGTCACTGGTGGCCTAGTCTATTCAAAAATACCTTAAATAAAATATTATCTTGTTGAATAAAAATTTTATTTTTAAAATGTTCAACTTTGTAATAATTTTCGAAAGCAAAGGGGTCCATGAAGATTTTAAGATATATAATTTGGGGAACGGTTTAGAAAAGGTTGGGAACCACTGCTCTAAACAGTTTCATAGTTATTTCTCTAAATTGAAAAAATGCATCATTTTTATATAAAGAAACTAAATTAGCATTATTTGGTTGCACTTGTTTTGTCCGATACTGTATATTTAAAATTTTATTAATATTTTATTAAAACTTTTAATAAATTAATAAAGATGATGAGTGGGACGATTGAAACAAAAGATTTCCACAAGCTTGTGGCAATTTTTTTGGTTTCAAAAAATGTATGGAAAATTTACTTCAACTTTTCTTTATTCTTTTTTTTATTCAATTTTAAAATATTTTGATGTACTTTATAATATATTTCAGCCAGATAACAGCAACATTGTTAATATCAAGAAAGCTTTTATAAAATTTGAGTTACCATAAGTTTTGCACGAAATCGCATTGCTGATTACGTTCCTGGATCGATCCCTAACGATAGCGAGAAAACACACAAATCCGAATAGAAAAACACATGTCAAGAGAACTGATTTTAATGGATAATGTGTAAGTTTGATACCTTTTTATATCTCGGTGTGATTTTCATGATATTGACAGCGAATGACAGTAACGTAGATTTATTACCTAACTCACTTTAAGTACACTTGCCACAGCTATAGCAGATTTACGAAGCTTGTGATTGAATGATCCAGTGTTTAAAAAATAATTGCAGAGAAGAGTCTTTCCTTATACGCTAACATTTGTCGGCACAGTTCACAATTTCAACCCATTAAGATTTAAAATTCATATCTTTAAATTCAACTCTTTTATATTCGATTTTTTAATTTTTTTTAATTATTTTTTGAAATTTCTGATAAAAAGTAATATAAATATGGTAAAGTAATAAAACATGATAAAGATAACATCAAGATATTAAAATCAATAACAATTTCAGCAAATTAATGTCATTTAATTTGAATGACATTAATTTGCTGAAATTGTCAGTGCTGAAAAAAAAACAGTCACAGCTGAAGTTTTTAAAATAATTTTTATTTGTAGTTAATGTTTGTTTTTGTTTTTTTTTTTGCCTAATATTGGATATTAGTATCTGATGTTTGCATTTGTGTTTTCGTATTTATGTTTTGTTATATATGATTTGTTGCTATTATATTTCTGTTTTTTTTGTTGTTGTTGTTGCTTTTGATACATTTTTAAAAAAAAAGATTCTGACACTCTATCTATAACATTCTTACTATATCTGTTGATTATATATTTTTTGTAAGTTATTTTTTGAGTGTGACGTGTTTTACTTTCCTGTATTTTATTTTTCGATTGTGACGTGTTTAACTGTATTTTTTTTATTGTTCACTCTTTATTTATGACTTCATATTAACATTAATTTTTTACGTGTTGCATGTTATTTTTTAATATTAATCATTTTTATCTGCTTCTTTTTAAACTACTATCAGCTTAGTATTACTCCTTTGATGATCATCCTTAACAGCTATTTCCTAATTTCATTAACTTTATGATCATTTTCTTTAGTATTATTAATGTTAGTATTCGTTAAAGGTCTTTTTTTCAGGTTACAATACTGATATTTGTTGAACTAAAATTCAATTCACAGAGTAAATTGCATTGTAACAAATTGAATCCCAGCTGTTATCATTATCTGATATTGTTCTTGTTTCGGTTGTATTATAACACTAGTTTAATTACCTTGATTAAACCGGTTCGACTAGTATTTTCATCATTTCTATTATAATTAATAATGTTTGTTATCATTATAATGATTATTATTATGATTACTTTTTTTATTGATGCAATAAATATCAAAGGAAATATTTTCCTCTTATAGCTGTTATTTGATTTTGATAATTATTGTCTTTTTTTTAAAAACCGCGTTTATTTTCATTTTAACAAACTCGTTTTTACAGCTTCATTTCACCATCGTCATAGTATTTAACTAAACACTATGCCTTTGGTTTTACGGAACGTTCTATAAAAAGTCTAATGGATTAGTCTATTTTTTTATATTCAAACTCTCCTATAGTTTCTTACTTTTTTAAAGGTTCTACTTTTTCAAACTTTTTTTCATAAAGTTGACAACGGAACGTTGCAATAAAAATAAAGAGAAGAAGAACATGCAAGATCTTAGTAGCTTCTTGACAGGTAAAATCAATTTATAACCAGCTCCACTTTGTCAGTTGTGTTTATTGTGTATCAACGATTGGTTCACCATGATCGTTTTACAATTAGCACCACTATGACAATTTTGATAAGCTAGTGCCAACCTCAATAAAGTTTTTTGTTTAAAAATTGCTTTTGGTTTTGCGCATACTATAACTTTATTAAAACAAAAGATCAGCTTCCACTCATCCGTTTTTCAATGGGAAATAATAATCACGTAGTATAAATTTCAATTTGCAAGAAGTCACGTACTTAAAAGTTTCAATTTGCTAAATTACGGATGCTGACGTGATTATTTTTCCCGTTCGTGTAGAAAAAAAGATGAGTTGAAACTGATTTTTAGGCTGATTCTCTTATCAAATTTTTTGGAAATTTCCTAGCTAAAAAATTTTTCAAGCATGCACAAACATTTTTAAATAAAAACTAGCGAAAAATATAAGAGCTTAAAAATGTTGTGCTTCTATTTTTTTTATATTTATTGACCCTTTTCGGGACAGCCTACATAAAATGAGGAAAACCTCAGAAAATTGGTAACCTAGTTAAAGGTATATTTTCAAGAATATATCTTAAAGTTTTTTTTTTGAGTCTTTTTTCTAACAGAAAAGATGAAAATAAATCTAAATAAACTTAATGTAAATCATGAATGCAAAATGGTTAAAGATCAATCAAAGTCGACTGCCACGCATGTCAGTAATTGAGCAAGACTAATCTTGGTCCGTGATTTGTTCCATTCATCGTGGTCCGTGATTTGTTCCATTCATCTTGGTCCGTGATTTGTTCCATTCATCGTTGTATTCATACATAAACCAAACATAGCCCACCAGAGTTTGATGAATAGTGGAAATGGCAAATAGTAGCACGAATTACAAATATCATTACTGACTTCTTTTTTCAATTTCATAAAGCAAAACAACAAAATATTTTTTTGTTTTTTTGTTTTTTTAAATATGTTCACCTCCACTATATACAAAGATTCATTTTTAAGCATTATACTCTAAAGATTTATTTGATTCTTTTAATTTGACATCAAAACCCAAAAGTTTTCAATTAGGGGTCCATAATTTACGTAACGCAATCTTTCACAATAAACAAAACAAGCACGATCAAAAGTTTTCCCTCGCAGAGTCTTATTTTAATTAAAAAATCAAAATAGTTTATTGAATTTAATGTAAACCGCTGCGTAAAAGTGCATAATATCTCCTACTTCTGTTTTTAAAATATATTTTGCGTTGCGTAATTTATGGACGATCCCTTAGCTACTGTATTTTTTTATCCTAAAGATAAGTCTGTATATATACTATTAGTTATATTAGCAGCTGTATATACACACGTTACACTTAATTATATTAATAACTCTATATATACATATTAATTCTTTTAGCAGATTTATAAAAACTACAAATGCTTAAAATAAATATTAAAATTCCACAAAACATTTTACCTTTTGATGTAACAAATAATGTGAATGTTAAAAAACAGAAAAAGTAGTCCATGTTGAACTAAAAAAAAAGTAATATAAGTTAAAATTTTTTAAAATTATATAAAAGAGTTTCTAATACTTTTATTATACTGAAATCACAAATTTAGAAAGTTTGAATACATCCCATTGGCACGGAACGTAAAAATGACGTCTTTTAAACGTTTTTGAACGTTCAAAAGACATTGCTTCTATTTTTTTTCATTTAAAAATGACTTCTTTTTAGGTCCCATGCTCACTTGGGTAAAATTTTAGAACTTTTCTATATTGACATTTGTGTAAAATAATCATTTTTTATAAAAATAATCAAACTTTTAACCTATAAGTGTTAAATACTGATTTTTCTAACATGAGTGCTGGAAACTGTTATCAGTAAAACCATTTTAGATTTTCTGAATCAACTTCACATTTTTATATTTAAAATGTTATATTCAAGTTTAACAAACAGTATAGAATATAAATGCAGTCAGAGTACAACAGGAGTTTTTAATTCAATATAAATACTATTTACTTTTTTGAATCACTCAAATTTCTTTTAAAAAATCAAATCTATTTTTAAAATTTAATTCTTATACTAAAAATATATTCAGCATCTAGGCCTTCTTTGAGTATATCATATTTAAAACAACTAAGTAAAAGGCTTTGATCTTATTCTCATAGAAACTCAATGTGCATTATAAAATGTGTATTAAATGTTGCACAATAATTGTATACACAATAATTGTAGTATTAAGTATAATATACAATTTCAATGTGTAATTTACTCGTCACTCCTTAGATTCAAAGTGTTACATTTCAATTAATTTTTTTTAATGACAATTTACCTCCTCAAGTCCATGAAAGTTATTACAGTCGGGGAGGCTACTTAAATTGTGATTACAACCCTCTCTCAACTCTATATCTCCGAAACACGAACTTGACAAATAAGTTGAGCGCGGAACTACCAGGGACGTGGTGGGTGGGGATTGTTAACCTACTTACAAATACAAAATCCTCTAAATCTTGCAATCTGTTCAAACTAAATTCTGTACTCTCCTGAGTATAGTATTTTATTTAAATTGATAAAAAATTGCAATACAATTTAAAAGACTCGCTAATATGATCAATATTACCTTGAATGCTTATTTTAAAAAATTTCAAAATGTTCAAAGCAGAATAAATAAAGCCGATAAAGTTTTTTTGTACCCATTTAAAAATCATATAAACTTATTAAAGTAAACTGCGACGCAACTCCATATTTTAAACTTATTTTGAAGAGATTATGATATAGATAAAAGTGTCGACTAAAAATTATTTCTACTTCTAGCAAAACAAATTTATATACACTCAAACAGGAGTAGAATATTAAAATTAAATGACTGTATTGGAAAAAATATTTTGAATTTAAGATATTGTTTGATATATTGAGTCAAATTAAAGAGACAAAAAATCAAAAGATTATCTAATATAAGTGAAATATCTGAACAGAATAATTTGTTCCTTCAGGTTTTATTCAAAAAATATAATTATCTTCAATAAATTTAATATGTTGTATATCTTGTATAACATTACCGTTAATGCTTTATTAACGGGAATTCTTTTAGTTTTGTTATCAAAAAGTAACCAATTTTTAACAATTTTTTTATTGTTATTGGCACATTAGGTTTAAAAGTTATAATAGAGATTTCAAATCTATAAATAAAACTTTAAAACTTATGTAAAAGAAAGAAATGGTTGTTTTTCAAAAATTTGCTAAAATATAGTAAACTTTCAGAAGAAACGTTAGAACCTAATTTATCAACTTAGATTAAAAAGCTTCATTACAGGTAGTTTGTAGGTTTATTTCTAAGTTCAAAAAAGCCTCAATTTTTTTTCACAAAGGGACCACAACGTTCTACCTGTAGCATGCTGCATTTAATAGCAATGTAATAGGTAGTATGCTCTTTTAAAATGTCTGCTTGGGATATGGTACCCAAGTTTTAAATTAGGATTAGATTAGATTAAAGATTAGGCTGTAAATTAGTCATTAAATCAATAAACCCATGATCTTCAGTAAACTAATAAACCCATGGTTTTTTAGTAAACCAACAAACCCATGGTCATTAGTAACACTAAATTATTGGTAATCTAAAGCAATCATCGTAGCTGCTTTTTTATGCATTTGCTTTAACTTTTCATCACTAAAATCCCATATATATTTTTTTTAACCTTATGAAAACTTGATGCTACCTTCGATTTATTTACATATTTTAAAACATTTGCTCTATTTTACTTATAAAACCTTATAATAGACTCTTAATATCAGACCCAGTAGTAAATCTTGCAACCATGTAGTTTGCTGGAGACCCTGTTTATGGAATTTTTGATCTTTGCAACTACGTAACTTTTTCTTAGATATATTAATAAAAGTTAAAAGTTTGATGTCCAAAAGTTAAAGTTTAAACTTTAAAATTATTTTCAACTGCCTCACATAACTCAATAATAGTTACACAAAAAAAAAAATCAGAGTAAGCCAAAATTTGATCTAACGGTCTCAGGAGAGGACTCCAACTTCAACCACTGTAATAGACAATATATTATTAATTCAATCTTTGATACTTCTCTAAAGGCGGGAATAATAAAAACAGATTTATCTGATCATTTTCCTATTTTCATCTCCTTTCATAGAAACCGTTTCATAGAAACGGTCTCAGAAGAGTAATTAGTTTGAACAGATTGCAAATTTGAGAGGATTTTGTATTTGTAATGCTTTAACGTGGCTGGTTCAGATTTATTTTATAACTTCTTCTAACTACATAGTTTAGTTGTGCGTGCTGTTTTCTTGTTGAGTTCCAGTTAAACGCGTGTTTGCATTTTGAATAAAAGAGCAGCAAGATGATTGCAGATTGTTCCAAATCTGGGTATAGAGAAGCAGTTACTTGTCAAAGTCTAGGCGTTATCGTACTCATCACTTTGATCGTTAAGTTAATTTGGCTAAACTTAAATAATTTGTTTAAGTAAAAATGAGTTAAACAAAATTAAACTAAACTAAAAGGTCTAGTATTATAAAAAAAAATTTTATAATACTAGACCTTTTAAGTAACAGTAAAATAGTAAACCAGCGCAGTAGGGCTGTTCAGTATGCTAATTTGTTTTCAGAACATAGCTAATTGAAGTTTTTCCCATTCAACTATCATAATGTGGTTCAAAAATATTTTTTACTAAATTTTATTATTTGCCTAAAGGTCCCTCAAAGCCACTAAACATTTGACAGGTCCCTAATATTATTAAAAAATAAATTATATAAAAATATGTCAACTTGGTACTCAAAAGAAGCAAAATTTTATAAAAATTTTAAAAATTAGATTCATTTTTTATAAAAAAACAACTTAAAAAAACTTATTATTAAAAATGTTGTTAGAAAAAAATTATTTTAAATTAATTGTTATTAAAAAAAAATTATTCAAAAATATGTCAACTTGGTACTCAAAAGAAGCAAAATCTTACAAAAATTTTAAAAATTAGATTCATTTTTTATAAAAAAAAACTTAAAAAAACTTATTATAAAAAATGTTGTGAATATTACCTTTTTTTCATTTTTCGTTTAAAAACCATAGTTTTTATTCAAAAAAACCTAATATTGTTATTTTTATAAAAAATACTTTTTGTTTTTGAAATTTTTAAATGGTTTTGCTTCTTTTGAGTACCAAGTTGGCATATTTTTAAATAATTTTTTTTTCAATAATATTAAGGACCTGTCAAATGTTTAGGGGCTTTGAGGGACCTTCAGGGCAAATAATAAAATTTAGTAAAAAATATTTTTGAACCACAATATGATAGTTGAATGGGAAAAACTTCAATTAGCTATGTTCTGAAAACAAATTAGCATACTGAACAGACCTACAGCGCAGTAACAGTAAAATAGTAACATTAATATAGTTGCAGTAGTGATTGTTTTAAATTTTACGATTAAAAATGTCTTTAATTTACCTACAAATAATGTTGTATGCTTTTGAAGATTTATATACTCTTTTGTTCTCTCTGTTAAAAGGTGTAAGATTTATCAATATGTTACTAATGTATATCGCAAAATAATGAATTGTTATTTAGAAACTATAGCAGTTAAAAATGTATTTATATTTTAACTTTTGAAGAAAGTAGAGAACAAATTTGAATCTACAGTATACGTATCAACATATTTTAACTCTTTTCATAACCCAAGACATGCGTAAAATAATAACGTAAAATAATGACGTAAAATGATGACGTTAAATAATGATGTTAAATAATGACGTAAAATAATGACTATATAACAAAAGATTTTTAAAAAAAGAAAGCCAACTATTTTATTGCAATCTGTTTACCTTGGATCCTGAAAAGCGTCGTTGGTGTAAACGCTTCAGTAATTGATCTTAAAATAGGTCAAGTCTTATTTCAATGCTTTAAGAAAAAATGCCTGGTATTTAATTACCCACTGATTGATTAGAGCTTTATGGAGTGATGATTTATCTATTAGAGCTTTAGGGAGTGATGATTTATCTATTAAAAGAAGAAAAGTATTTTTCAACGAATTTTGGAGTATGATGTCATATATAAGGCTATGTATTTGGAGTATGATGTCGTATATAAGGCTATATATTATGGCTATGATTGTTCAAAATTTTTCTTTACTTCTGAACCAGCTGAAATAGTTATCAAGAACAATTATTTGATTTTTTAAAAGTTTCATGTTTGTAAGAAAGACATTCAAAGTTGGTTTTGTGACGAAAATCTGTCCACTAACACTAATTTTTGAGATTTTATCAAAATACTATGAAACTTAACAGTGGTCAATGTTACAACAAATAAACTTACCAGTGGTCAATGTAACAACAAATAAAGTTGATACTTTATTAATGCCACAAGAGATTATGATCATCTTCAAAATGTAATTTTGGTATTATGAAAGAGTCAAAAATTTTTAAATGTTTAATTAATAAAATAAATGTTTAAGTTATTTTATTATAAAAAAAGTTATAAATATAAAGGTAAATTTTAAAAATGAAAAAGTTCTTTTTAATTTTTTGTAATTTTTTTACTGTTGAACAGGTGTACACAATGGGGTGAGAAGTGGAAACGAGGTGTACACAATAGGGTGAGAAGTGGAAACGAGAAATGGAAACCCATGCTTAAATGTTTTGTTTTTTTTTGGAATGAGTTCATTTTGGAAAGGTTATGCAGAGTATATGACAGTACTGGATTAGGCGGGCTAGGCCCGGGCCCCACAATTTTGGAGGCCCCGATTAAAAATAAATGATTATTCATAAAGAAACTCTGAAAACAAATTCTTTGATTAATATAATACATAGATTAGCGCTTCCTGCTTCAAAATATCCGCGGGCCCTGAAAAATCCTAATATATACGCTCTGTTCTTTTTCTATGAGTAGTTTTTAGGTTCAATACAGTAATATATGCTTAAAAATGAAAGCATAAATTAAAAATCAAAATTTAAATCTATTGCTTCAAATCATCCTAGAAACAAATAATCACATAGCATGAAATGATAAGTGGTTATTTTTCAAAATAAACATTTCTATTATGCACAACAATAGTTTAATATATTATGTAGTTTATAACAGTACTTAGTGGTGCAAGAAGATGCCTCAAATGATGCCTTATTACAAATACGTTGACTTTTTTGCACCAGTAAGTAAAGTTTGAGAAAGTGTTGTATTATATATGTTGTTCTTATAAATGGGCACAGCAACCCAATCTTTAACATTTTTATTTTTTGCAGATTGCAACCACCTAAGGTTTTTGCAAAACATCCGTATTTCACATGGTACGATTACTCATACAAGTCTGATCAAACAAATAACAATTATTAAATATAGTATGACTAATAACAAGCACATAGACATTACATAAAGCATAAGTAAAAAGTAAATATACGTTTCTTGTTTACGGTAACGTTTATACAGCAGCTATTAAACATGTTATAAAAAAATCTTAGATGACATAACATCTTATATAATGTTATATAATGTAGTAAAATAAAATTCGTAGATAAGAAGTTAAAGAATGTTTTTTAATGTTTTTTTGATTTTAAAATTAGTTGTTTCAGAGTAATATTCTCAGCTTTGAGCGTCCACGGCGTAGTGCTTAAGGTACTGTGCACTGAATCAAAAGGTCCTAGTCTTGATGCATATTCTGGTCATATAAGAAACATTGTAAAAAAAAAAAAAAAAACGTTATGAACTTTGTTGCTAAATGCTCATCCGAGGTACTGTGTTAGAAGTCCATTAGATCTTCTGAGAGAGATCTTAATAACCAGGAAAAAAAAAGAAAAAAAAAAAGGTTTATACAGTTTTTGAAATAAAGTTTGTTCAATTTTTTTAACGTTTAATAAGTATCTATGACATATACATTACGCATTTAGTTTGTTTATCTTATTTAGTGACATTAATATATATATATATATATATATATATATATATATATATATATATATATATATATATATATATATATATATATATATATATATATATATATTTGTTTATCATAATATAAAATTGCAGAATATGTTTCATCAATACCAATTGATGAAACAATAATCATCTGGTTTAAAAATGAATTAAAATTTATGTATATACACACAAACACACACACACACATATATATGTATATATATATATATATATATATATATATATATATATATATATATATATATATATATACATATATATATATATATATATATATATATATATATATATATATATATATATATATATATATACATATATATATATATATATATATATATATATATATATATATATATATATATATATATATATATATATATATATATATATATATATATATATATATATATGTATATATGCTGAGAGTAGATATTTTATAAAAAACAAAAAAAAAATGTCTGACCTTTCTAAAAAAAAATCTTTATACTCTTAAATGTGTTATCAAACCAGTTTTCTCTTACTATAAATCTAAAGATATTTGTCATCTAAAAAATATTCGATAGTTTTTAAAAAAGCAATTTTGAATTAATAATAAATATGCGAGCATATTGTTAAAGATTATTATCTATGACAACTTTATAGTTAGCTTTTTCAAGGACAATCAGGGGATTAATTTTAAATTCAAAAGATATCAATAAGGTAATCTCATATATATATACTTGTTACTGTTATGGGAAAAACTCTTGATAAGGGTGGTTGTAAAAGATGGAAGAATCAATCTCTTTTAAGATCCCCACGCCCTCATTTAATAATTTTTACAAAAATAAATCTTGTTATAAAACTTTTAAAGAAAATTTGGAAACTTTCAATCTTTATTTAGGTTACTAATAAAAATTGTTTTGTTCAACTCAATAGCTACTATATATAAAACGAAAACGATTTCAAGTTTTCCTTATCTATTTATCTCCCCAAGTACAGTTGAGAAGGCCACTATAATTAGGAAGTTTCAGTTTAGGAGGCTACATGATTTTTATAATTACTGTTACAACCCTCTTTTAACTTTAAAACAATAATTCTAAAACAAAAACTTTGCAAGCAAATTTAAAAACTCGAGCGCGGTACTATAGGGTCACATTACTGCCAATAATAAAAAAAGTAGCGAAAGCTATTATAGTATTGGGTTTTTTTTTTGAGAAATTGAAATTTTCAGCACCAAATTAAAAAAAAAAACAAAGATATATACAAATATATATTTATATGTATATATATATATATATATATATATATATATATATATATATATATATATATATATATATATATATATATATATATATATATATATATATATATATATATATATATATATATATATATATATAATCTATTTTTGATTTTAATATTAATTTAATTAATAATAATATTAATAAAATAACTAATAATAATATTTAAATATTTTGTCAATGTTAGTACTCTTTCATTCTAACTATATTAAAATAATTCCTTGTTTTGCAGAGATAAAAATATTTCATGTATAAATTTGATATTATAACGTTTCGCAGAGATAAAAAAGTTTTAATGCATAAATTTGGTATTATAAATTATGCTTTAAAGTAATTTTAAAATTATTAAATATTTGGAAAAGACTAGAGAGTTTAGTTGTTTGACTAAAAACGCATTTAAAATTTTAATTTAATTTTAAGATTTGAATATTTTTACAATACGGTTAGCACGAATCCTTATAATGCCTACTTAGCTGTCCCAAGAACGCCACTTAAACGGAAAGTTAGCGTACACATCAAGGTACCCTGTGATGCAAATTTTGAAATCATTTAATTTTGTCCGTGGAAAATAATTTAATTTGAATGTTCAAATTAAGTTAAACTTTGACTTCATAGTGCGCCAATAAAAACACTTGTTGAATTTGAACCACTCAATATAATTGGATAAAAATTAGTGAAAATATAGCCAATAGTCACACCAAACTCTGGACAAAATTTCAGCCTGATTGGATGACTGGTGTAGGATTTATAACAGTTTTAGTTAAAGTTTTGTCAGTTTTTTGCTACTTATACCTCAAAACGTTACCGATTACTTTGAAATTTGGTCACTATTTTTAAAATAACAGTTACATGAGTGTTCTACTATTTAATACCGACAATTTTTGTTATAATTATTTTATCGGTACATGTACAGTTTTTATTTTACAGACCAAAATAGTGATTTGCTACTTAAAGCGTGATTTGAATTGGCTTATGCCAATGGCGTTGACACGACCCTCAAAGTGGAGGGGGTCAACCCCTCAATTTCTAAAATAAAATCCATAATTTCTAAAATAATTGCCTATATTTCTAAAACAAAAGATCCTTGCAAAAAAAAAAGTTGGCAGGCCATGGCTCCCTTGACGGCCATGCAGTGCAGGCCTTAGCCTTTTTGCCGCCCTCGTTCGAAATTTGTCCTGCCGCCCCTGAAAATTTTATAAACGTGCTGGTAAATTACATGGAAAATAATAACAAATCGAATTAAAAAATAATACTTAGCAATAAAACGCTACATACAAAGAAACATTTTTTGCTTATGTTTTACACAAAATACATTTAATTTTTTAAATTAATCTTACAACCCTTCTTATCACCAAAATCTTTGATTAGGGTTGAAAAATCAAGATTTTCAGCAATATTCTTTTTAATCGATAGGGTTCCTAAACTTGAAAGTCTATCCTGCGACATTGTTGACCGCAGATATGTTTTTATTAGTTTCATTTTGGAAAAGCTTCTTTCTCCACTCGCTACAGTGACAGGTATTGTTAGCAAAATTCGCATTGCAATCCATGTGTTTGGATACAAATCTTGCATTTTGTGCTGTTTTATAAAGTTTAAAACAATAATAGGAGTAATTTTATCCTTGACCATTTCAGAAAGAAAAGGTTTAATGCTCATCAGTTTATCGCAAAGGAGAATACCATTAATGTCCGATTTTAGATTTACGGTAAGTTTACTTTGAAGAGCTAAACATGATTTTAGAATTTCTTCTCTTTTTTGCAAACTTTCGACATTATACAAACTTTACGACATTATACAAACATACGACATTATACAAACCCCAAACTTCGGAATTATTCTCCAACTGTATAAATCTTTCTCTCATTGAAATTAAAGATGTGTCTAAAAGAGGATTGAAGAAATCGATTTCTAATTTTTTTTTCAGGAGAAAATAAATAAATCCCATCTTGGGCTGGTTCGTCAAAATGGCGTTTCACTCGTATTATTCTTTTAAGTGGTTTAAAAACAGGCTCCACTTGTAATTCTATAGCCAAATCCTTTGCTTTTATAATTGCATTTTTAAAACCACATTTTCTATAGTTTTCTAAAAATGAACAACAGCTTTTCAATAACTTTGCACATTGAGTGATGTCCATATCTTTTTCTTGAAGAGTTTTACTAACAATATTGACTTGAAAAAGAGCGTCATACCAGACAATTAAAGAGACAAGAAAGCTAAAATCTTTTAATTACTCTTCTAGAGTTATCGCTTCATGTGCAGTTTCAGGATTACATCCTTCAATTTCTGACAATGCTATCAAAGCGTCATGTACATCACCAACTTGATAACGAACGGCTTTAACACTACTTATTTTTGCTTCCCACCGCGTGTCACAGAGTTTCTATAAATGCAAAATTTTAACATGATCAATTAAAATTTTCCATCGGCTCACTGAAGCTGAGAATAGAGTAAACAATCTCTGAAGAATACCGAAAAAAGCTATAGATTTTACTGAAGACCGTGCAGAGTCACTTATTACCAAATTTAAGCTATGGTTGCCGCAAGGAACATATAATGCTAAAGGATTGAGATTTAAAATCCTTTTTTGTACACCATTAATCTTTCCTTTCATATTTGATCCATTATCATACCCTTGACCTCTGCAGTTAGAGATTTCAAGTCCATGCTTAGTTAGCAACTCGATTAAAACCTCAGTAAGTCCTAAGCCTGTAGAATCAGAAACAGAAAAGAATCCTAAAAAGTACTCTTTAATTTCCACTCTAATGTCTAATGACAAGTCAGCAATTCGAATAGTAAGAGAAAGTTGTTCTTTTCTAGAAATATCAGGTGTACAATCAGCAATGATTGAATAGTAAATGGCTTTTAAGACTCGGTTTATTATTTCATCATTAACCTTTTGAGACATTAAATCTATTAAGTCATTTTGAATATTTTTCCCGCAATAATGGTCTAAAGTGTCACCTTTTATTGCAAGTGCTAAATGCTTTTGCATCACAAGATCAAATTTTGCTAGCATCTGTATTAGTCCTAAGAATTTGCCGTTTTGAGGCGTAAACAGTTTATCCGAACTCCCTCGAAAAGCCATATTATTTTCAGCTAGGTAAAGAGTGATATTCATCAGCCGAAGAAGAACATTTTGCCATCGCAAACTGTCTTTTTCCTTAATTTTAATTTCTTAAGCCGTGGCGCAGTGGTTAGAGTTCTGGCTCAGAACCCAGAAGTCCGAGGTTCGACGCCAGCTCTAGCCCAACAAGTGACATTGGTACGGAAGAAGGCGTGAACTTCCTGTTAAATGCTCTCCCGCGGTGCTCTATGATAAGACCGTAAGGACTTCTGGGAGCACCTAAATACATACAAAAAAAAAAATTATCTATAGTTTTTCCAGTTTTTAATTTTATTTCAGTTTCTACCCACTGTTGATAACATTTCATATGAGAGACGCTGTTTTCATGAATTCCCAATGTTTCAGTCAAATGTCTCCATTTCTTGAAACCATCAGAGACTAAGTTTGACTTTGAATTATTATCAAAAAGTAGACAGCAAAAACAAAATACGGAGTTTTTAGAATCTGAATAAACCAACCATCTACGGCAAAAGGTTTCTCCATTCGCAAGCTTTCTATTGTAATAAATGCTAGAAAAATGTCGACCATTTCTATCTTCAGGGTATTTTTCCTTTGCAATTTGAAAAGGACCAAGTTTAATTAAATGGTCCACAAAGTTGCTAGATCGAACAATTGGCCAATTTCCACAATCCAATAAATTAGGTGTTTCTTGTAAAAAATCTTCCGATAAATCATTCGATTCTTTTAAAATAACTGGTTCATTATCTACTTCAATTTGCAATGAAGTTATACAACTGTTTTTGAGTATTGTTGAAGGTTCTCCAATTTTATTGGACATAGTCGTAGAGATAGTTGAAGCATCAGGATTAAAATCTTCACGATCTTCGTCAGGCTTTTTATAAGCAATATATTTTTCAACGCTCATGAATTTTTTAATTTTTTCAAATTTTTGATCTTTAACGGACTTTCTTTTTCTGTACTCATAACCAGACAACTTTTTTCTTGAATTTGAAATTTTATGTGACATGAGACAGAATATTTTTTAAGATAAAATTATTTCTACAATTTAAAAAAAAAATAATTTAACAAAGTTCTCAAAACACATTCATAAAATTATTAAAGAAATAAAAAAAAAAGTAACTAAACTTACTGAAAATTGTTTAAATCGAGTAAACTTAACATTTAATAACAAAAAATAAAAACTTTTGAACTTCTTTATAAAAAATTTTTTGCAACTTTTCGAAATGACTCCTAGGGGAAATAGCGCACAAATGATACTACAAATTACAATAGAAAATCGTGCGTTAATTAAGTAAATGTAGTAATTTTTTGTCTTCAAATTTAAAATCGTGTTTTTTTTTTTGCAGAGGTCGTTAAACCTTTTAATTTACTTTAAATTTTTAATATACTACTGGAAAATTAAAACTTGTGACTAATAAAATTCTCCGCCCCTATTTATTTGCCGCCCTCGTGCAACGCACGACCTCGTCCCCCCCCCCCCCTCCTAAAAGCCGGCGCTGCGGCCATGTATGCATAGCGTGAATATACCAACATTTCCTTTGGATACATTCTTCAGCTGGATTTTGCTAAAAAAAAATTTAAATTTTAAAAAGTGTTACCTATTGATAACTGGTGCAAGCGTTACACCCAAAATTCACGCCGTCTTCTACCACATCAAGGATTTCATCAGTCACATAGGATTCCCCTTGAGGCCCTATAGTGAATAAACTGTCTCAACTTCTCATCAAAATTTTTATCAACATTGGTCGAGGTATAAGCGAAATAATATTAATCCAGAGTACAAAGAAAGATTGTTGCGCTGCATAATTGATCTAAACAGTAAGCATCTTTAAAGAACATCATTTAAGTTATTAGAAATTAGGCTGCTGAAATTCATATTTTACGGCGTATAATGAATATTTTCACCATATTTAAAAGTAGTATTAAAGAGTCCCAGTTAACCATTCCAACTGGGTCCCAGCTGGGACCCAACTGGGGAAAACGCTGGGACCTATCTGGATATCCCACATGGGTCCTAGTGCGATTCTGTCAGTGGGATCCAACTGGGTCCCATATGGGATAAGTCTGGGTTTTTGACGGGAAATCCCATATTGAACCCAGATATTTTTTTCATTTAACGCGGGTTTTCTCAACTTTTTATAGTTTGTTTTTTCGCAGATTTTTTGTCTCGAATCTGCGAAATAATGTGACAATTTTTTGATTAAAAAGCGTCGCCTTTTTTATATAAAATTAAAAAGTAAAGGTTATTTATATTATCTATATTGAATTCGCTGCCAGGGCAATAAAATGTATTAGGCAAATGAATATTCGGTCTCACATAATTTTTACGAATCAATTGAAAAAACAGATTTGAATTTCATAATATTTTTAAGCAACAAAAAACTAATATTATACAATGATTTGATGCAAAACTACGACAGTAATATTCTGCCAAAGTAGTTCTTTCATATCGCCACCATAATCGCATGACAAAATTCCTCTTGAAAGTTTATCGTTATCGTTTTTTTTAATGCTTTCATCCACTTTTACACTAATTTTATAAATTAAAAATAATTATTTGAATAATATATTAAATTATAGCATATATATTTACAAAGTATAGATAAAAATATTTATTGATAATATTATTAAGGGCAAACCATGCAGTGTGCTATACCATGCCATATCTTACATATAACTAACAAAGACTAGGCAAACAAAAACACACGTACAAATCACAAGCTAACTCAATACAATATATAAATCGATATACATGTTATAATAATAGCCAGATTAAAGTAGAGGCCCAGGGCAGGACAATTAATTATTCACATAGTTTGTTCCTACAAAAATAACAAAAATAAAATGAACATAACATATATAGTAAAATATAAAAATAAATACTGGAGAACTGAAGCCTCGATATAACACCATGAATAACGGTGTTTCAACTTCTTTAGTTGGCATCATCTAGTTTTAAATTTTCTTCAGTTTTTCTTTTTAACAGGCATCCTGCAGGGAATCTAAAACAATGTTATTTCATGGTGAATAACTGATGTTTATAATTAAGCATGACATAAATAGACTTGTAAATAACAATAATATAACATGAATACTATGTAACCATTTAAATTTTAAAGTCTTGACTCAAGTTAACCTGACATCAAACCATTAAATCAGTTGGTGAGGGTTTAATATCTTTTATATAATTTAATAAATACATTTTGATTGTACCCAATTAAACAATAATCATTTTAGATTATATTATTACTTGAAAATAATTATTTGTTTCAATTTAAACATATTGAAAAAAATTAAAAACAATTGTAATTTTGACCACAATAAATTTAGTAATAAAATTATTTTCGCAATGAAAATTTACAATTATAAACAAGTGTAGAGTACTTGTATTATTATATATAATAGTTATATTCATGATTAGTCTAACATAACGTATTTCAATTATCGTGGACCAGAATTTATTGTTTAATTTCATGTTGTCTTAGAGCTACATTTTGTGATTATATATTAAACTTATTTCAAAGTAGATTCTAAAAATATAACATCGAAACAATTTGGTTTAAAAAATCATAATACATAGATAACTTTTAAACTTTACTACATTGTGATAATGGCAGCATGTATTGATGACAATACATGCTGCCATTAAACTATTAAAAAATTGACTATTGAAATCATGTTGCATGAATAACTTACATGCTTTACCATATATAATATTACTAGTACATATTATTCTACTAATCAACAGATAAATGAAAATAAAAATAAAAACAAACTACCATTGAGGTACCAAATAAAGTTTATGTGGAAAATCCTTTAAATGTAAATTTATTCCAAATCATGTCACACTACTGTATATGTAGTTTAAAAAATGTTTTTTATCATATATATTCATAAACTTTTAATGCAAATAATGTAAAACACACTATTCTCGCTCTAAAAATATGTGCTATCATAATAACATTCACATTTTCTAGAGATTCACAGTCCGTTTTCTATTCACAGAACTTATCCATTCACAGAAGCCCAGGTCAATATTAGTATATTTTACAAATTCTATATATTTTTAATATACAGAAATTATTTTATCAGGGTTGCCACTATAATTTTTAAAGTTTTTCCCTGAGTATTTCCTGAGTAAAGAACGTTTTTCCCTGAGTTGAACTCTTTAAGTTCCCTGAGTTTTCCCTTAATTTTCAATATTTTTTCCTGTTCATCAACGAGATTATTATTTTCCTTAATTAAACACAATCTTTATATTTGACAAACTAAAACTTTTACAACAACATCCACAACTAGCAAACTTATTATTATATGTATTAGCAAAATTTTTTTGGAAAAAAAAATTATTGTACAAAATTAAAAAAAAATTATTTGCCCTGAGTTTTCCCTGAATTTTATGAAAATTTTAAAAAATCCCCGAGTATTTCAGGTTTTCCTGGGATTCATGCTATTTCCAGGTATTCCATGTTTTCCAGGTTGAGTGGCAACCCTGTTTATTTATTTTATCAAACTCTGTAAACTAATAGTTTGAGATATTAAAACTCGGGAAAGGTAAAACTTTCCTAAACTTTCTGAAACAAAAATATTCAAAAAAACGTTGTCAGATTAAGTGTTAACTTACTATACCTTTTCAAGATGTAAATGAGAACATGAAAGTTGTAATTAAGAAGTCGTAATATGTAATTAAGAAACACAACATGTAATTGAGAAAACGTTATATGTAATTGAGAAACACAACATGTAAATAAGAAGTCGTAACATGAAATAAAGAAACACAACATGTAATTGAGAAAACGTAGGATATAATTGAGAAATCATAATATGTAATTGAGAAATCGTAACTTGTAATTGAGAACACATAAATTAAAATAGCAAATTCACAGTCTAAGTTTGTAGGTTGTTACAAAAGGGAATTTAAGTTATAATCTTAAATTTTGCTTTTGTATGCACAAGTAATAATAATGGAATTGAAAGATCGTTGTGTTATATGCCAATACACTATGACCCGAAAGTCTGTGATTAAGCTAAATCCGTGTCAACATTTATGTCACCAAATTTGTTTACGTCCAGTTCTGGAACAACCAGATTCAAGTTGTCCGATTTGTCGGCATGAAATACACACAACTGAACAAGTTGAAAGGAAACGTTACGTTTTATCTTCTCCAAATGACAGGAGAAGAGTTGTTGAATGTGCGGAGCGATTTGAAGATTGGGTGAATCTCGCGCAAACGCTAGGTATCAAATATAAGACAGCATACAATTGGGTTCGCAGCGGAAATTCAAATTTCATCGGAAAAGGAGGTTTTAAACCGAAAAAGTTGACCGAAGATCAAATCGAAGAAACATTAACATGGATTGAAAATGATTGTCAATTAACATTGGTGGCCATCAAAACAAAAATATTAAGACAATTTAACATAAACGTTAGCACAGCAACAATAGCAAATTACCTCGAAGGCAGATTGTTCTCATTAAAAAAAGTGCACAAGGAGCCTTCTACAATGAACAGTTATGAAAACAAACAAAAAAGAGCTGAATATGTTAGAAACATCAACGAACATATCACAAATGGTCGTCAGATAGTTTGGTTGGATGAAACAAATTTTAACCTCTTTTGTAAAAAAACGCAAGGACGCGCGAGACAAGGAAAAAGAGCAATTATGAAAGTACCTGCTTCAAAAGGTTTAAACATACACTTGATCGCAGCTATTTAGACTACAAATGTCGTCATGATAGAAACTCGCAGGGGATCATTTAAAGCAGATTCCTGTAACGAGTGGATGTTGGCTATGTTTCACCAGTGGGTTACATCCGGGAATCGTTTGGAGGATTTGGTCGTCGTAACAGATAATGCTCCTTGTCACACTCGTTTGCAAAGGGTGTTTGATAATTCACTAGCTC